TTTCTGGCCTGCTGCCCACTCTGAGCCCCAGGCTCACCCCGAGATTTCCACAGGAGCGAACCCTCAATTCTGACTAGACCCTTTGCTTCCTTCCCTCCCAGTACTGGTCCTGAAGATCATCTGTCTCCCATTCACAACAAGCACACGTGAATACAAGAGCCCAAGCCCTGGGGTAGCCTGAAGACATTATCTAGGTCAGCCTTCATTCACTCTGGGACACTCAGGAGGAGTGCCCATGCTGAGGGCGCAGCTCACACACTCGCAGTAAATGCTGAGGTCACCTTGTGCCAACATGCTTATTACTTGTTTCTATTATTTCAATTGCTTTAGCTTGTGGCCAGCAAAAAGAAAAGAAGAAAGTGAGAGAAAGGGAAAGAAGGATGGATTATGGGTACGCAGGATAATAGCTTTGGGCACAAAATGTATCCAGACTTCTTGTTAAAGTTGGGGTCCCTCTCTGAACACCATGTCACAACACCACATCCACGTACTTCTGTGTTACTCACACGGGCACCATCCCTTGAAGAATTCCAGCACTGCTGGGAGAGGGCCACCTGCTCTTTCTCCAGGCACACAGAATTCTGGCGCTGCCCTTCCTGTGTTCTAAACAGGAACATCCAGGCCAAGGACTCGCCAGGCCTGTAGACCTCTGTGTGCAACAAATCTGAGCCACCAACTCCAAACAAAGTCCCCTCTACACAGGCCTGCATGCAGACCCATGTCCTGAACTCCGCGAGGGCATCCAGCATGAAATACCTCAGTGGGATGATGACTTACCTTCTGATGTTTCTATCCTAGGCATAGATACTATACTGAACATGGTTTTCTTCCTCAATTTCACCTTCTCTTTGTTGATCCTCTCAAGGGTGTTGTTCACTTAACACATAATACTGCCAATCACTTCATATACATGCCTCATTAACAATTCCATCCAATGACATGATGTGCAAGGTGACCACTGCACCCATTTTACAATGATCTTCTGCTGCAGGTCAAGAAATTGAGGCTTCTAGAGGTCTAATACTTACCCAAAGGCATACGGTCAGTCAATACTGATAAGAACCAGTTAAGAGCCCAGGGGGATTTGGCCTAGGCATTCCCAGCTTTAAATCACTTTCCCAAAGTCCTTGCTGAAGGCAAAGACACTGAGCAATGTCTGCAGACATTTCTGATTGTGACAGTTAGGAATGTGATTGCTACTGGCACCCCTACTTAGGGATCTGAAGCACTACAGAAAAATGTGCACAATAATGACACTGGTCCAATGTCAGGTTGCAAAGGTAAGGGCAAGGCTGAAAATCCCTGCTCTGATAGACAGAAAAAGAAACAGTCTTCTGACCAAAACTCTCCTTTTAGGCCATAGTTCACCATCTCTATTTCCCATGCCTACAGCCAAACAACCAGTAAACCCCAGCTTTCCCTCACTTTCACTGTAGCAGGCTTTACCCCTTGGCCCCCAAAGTCCTTGTCAATCCCTACTTCCAGTTCCTTTTCAGTCAATCCCAGCTGATTATCCACCTATCCACCAACACACACCCTGTCCCTCACCCTCCATGCTGGTCTACTGTCGGCGGGGATGGGTGGGAGGAGGGGGTGAGGAGAGAGCAGACAGATCAGGAAATTGAGGATTATAATCCAGTTGATGAAAATGGCTCAACAGAGATTGGTAAGGGATGCAGAGAAGTCAGAGGAGGGTTAGTGGGGCTGGCCGGGTTCAGGGCAGCCTCCTAGGAACACATGAACTTAAGGCATTATGCAAGTCCTTCTCAAAGACCCCTCACCAGTTCTCCAATGCATATGGAGGATGGCCTCTAAGGAGCCAGGGAGGCCTTTCATGAGAAGACCCAGGGCATCCTGGGAAACACAGAGCTGTCCTGGCCTCTGTGCCTCACCTAGACAGTCTCTGGCTCGGGTAAGGGTGGCACATGGACTGCTCTGAAGGGTGGGGCCACGTGTCACTGCAACCCTGGCAGGCCTCTCTGGCTTGAACCACCCTGCACCTCTGCAGCAAAAGGTCAATGACATTTAGGAAGCGCTCCACACACATAGCAGACCTTACAGAATGTACAGAACAACTCTATGAAGGATATGTCGTCACCCCAGTTCACAGATGAGAACACCAAGCCTCAATGAGGCCATGACCCTCCCCACCCCCGGGACATACAGCCAGGGAAGAGAGGAACCTGGACTCACAGTTAGATCAAGTCCTCACTACCACTTCAACCCCTCCCTGAGAGGCACTCTACAGTCACTGGAGGTGGGGTCTGGCACAGCAGCCAGCAGGCCACTTGGGATGCCCTGGTCCCATAGCCGAGGGAGGGCCTGGGGTTGAGTCCTGGACTTGCTTATGGTCCAGCTTCCTGCTAACTAATGTACACCCCGAGAGGTGACTGGGCAATTCTTAGTTCTCTCTACCACCTACACAGCTGAACCTACACAGGATTCAGTTCTGGGCTTCTGACTTTGGTATGGTCCTGTGCCGGTTACTATGGGCATTTTAGGTAGTGAACAATTTCTCTTTCTCTGACTTTTAAATACATAAAAACAAAAAATAAAAACAACACAAAAAAATTTCAGGTCATTGACCCAGAACCTTCTTCACCTCAGTTAAGGCCTTGCCCTCCAGGCAGTCCTCCAGGGGTGAGCCCCACCTCTCCTGACCAATGCCCTGCAGCGCCTCACACGGCTGTGATGAAACTTCTGAGTGAGTCAGGGACAAAACCGGTCTGCTTAATCCCTTCTGCCTCCAGCATGGGTACAGACATGACTCATTCTGGGGTAACACACCAGATGCAGCAGCTGGCTTAGGTGTGGAGACCTTGCTGTACAAAAATCACATCTCTTCAAACATGAGGATTTCAGAAGAACTGAGTCCACTCTCTGCTCCATCCTTCCCTTTTTCCCAGCTGGAGTTCACACACAACGGCAGGGACTCGGGCAGCCAGGCAGGACCATGAGACGGAAGCCGAGGTTTGAGCAGGGAGAGCCAGATGATCCCAGGAGCCTTGTTTCCAGAGGACTCCACAGGATACAGCAAGCTGTCCTACCAGCATTGGATGGGAAGTACACTCTCAGACTGCCACAGGGTGAGGAAGAAAGTTCTATTTCGTTCCAGTCACTGCACTTCCAGACTGCTTTGATGGGACATTTCCCACTGCACCACTGTTTTAAACTACTTGTTAAAACAAGGTATGAGCATGGCGATTAACACACTCCAATCTTTGTTGGATAAAACAGTAGTTAAGAGCAACAACGCACCAAACAGAACAATCAGGATTCTGTCGTTATTGCCTCATTTTGAAGAAAAAGCTACCTCAAACGGCTGATTAAAATCACTATGAGCCAGCAAGAAGGGGAGACAAAATGACCTCCCATCCCCATTTGGTTCATCTTAGAGCCCCTGGGGACACCTCCAAGTCCCACAGAGCCCAGGTGACTTTAGCAATGTGCCCCTCTCACAGCTCGCTCCCAGAGGCAGTGACGTCGGAGAAACCTGCTGAGAACCAGAGGGGGCCTGTTAGCACCCCCTGACTCATCCACGGAAGCCAGGCAGGGCTGGGGTGCAGAGTGAAAGCTCCACGAATGGCGCACTGGGTCACCACTGCCTGCCAGGCGCTGGACATCTGGACATCAGCCCCCACTGCGTAGCCCCCACTGACACACAAGGCCAAGGCTAAACTCGGGTCCTACTGTGGCACAGCAGCCCTCAAGAGGTCCTGAGCACCCTGCTGGGTACTGCCTGCCCTAGTCCTACGAGAGCAGGACCCCTCCTGCAACTTCAGAGACTGCAGCACCCTCAGACAGCTCCACTGCGTGTCTGCCAGGCGTTGGACACCAACATGTTCAAGCTTAAATCTGCCTCCTCTCCCTCAGACCTGCTCACTGTCCTGTGGCTTCCCCCAGTGCTTCGCATTCCCACCAGTGAAAATCTTGGGGTCAGCCCCAAGTCCCTCATCCAAGCAATCACCAAGCTGTGTCAACCCTAGATCCAAAAACCATCACTCCCCACCCTCTGCCTCCAACCTAACCGCAGGCCACCCTCTCTCTCCAGGATTGTTCCAGCAACCTCTTAACTGCCCTTCATCCTCTGCCTAGAATCCCTTTCTTCACCCACAAATAGCTCTAGAATGCCTTCCCAGTCACCAAGCACGCCTCCCTAGCCTTCTGTCATCTCTCTCTAGAGACTGCTTATTTCCCCCTGAGAACAAGCCCCCTTGGCCTGCTCTCTACCCTATACGGGCTGTGGGTCCCAGCTTGCTGGGAAACATTCCTCAATTCACCCAGAAGGAGTGTTCCAAGTACTTTACACCTGCTGCCCCAGGCAATCTGCATCACTCCCTTGGGGAGTAGATGTTAACATCATCTCTGAGGAAACTGAAGCGCAGAGAAGGAAACTGAGGCGCCTAAGGCCACAGCGTGCAATGGGGTTCAAACCCCCAACCCGGCCCCACCGTCCACACTCCTAACCCTGCTCTGAGGGAGACCCGGTCTGTGGGCAACCCCTGCCGCATCCTCAGAACCTGACAGGAGCCGAGCAGTCCTCTAAGGAACGAATGAATGAAGGCAATCATGAGTGCCCGGCACTCCCCAGGTAGGCCCCGGCCGGCGGACTTGCATTGCCCAGGCACCTCGCCCCCTCGCGGCCGCCGCATGCCCACCCGCCGCGGCGCGCGGGGTCAAGGGGCGGTGACAGCCGGCAGGCGGGGGCGGAGATGCCGCCAGCTGGGGTGTCACCGAGCTCGGGAGGCGACTCGCGCCCCCTCGCAGGGGCGGCTGCTCCGCCCACCCACTCCCCACCCCCGCTCGCCCGGCGGCGCCCCTCTTCTCAGTGCCCGGCGGCCGCTGTCCCAGCGCGTCCCCTCAGCCCCGGCTCCCGTCCCACTCCACTTCCTTCCCCTCCCCCACACAACCGTCCCCAGCTTCCCCCCGCGCCCCACCCTCCGCCGCCTCTGTTCGGGCTGCCTGGACTCCCCAGGCCCCCGGCGCTTGCCGGTCCTCACCTGCCATGTCCCGAACCCCACCGCAAAGGGAGGTGCATCACGGCCGCGAGAAGGCCGGGGACGGCACTTCAGAGCAGACAAAGGGCGCCGCCATGATAGAGTCGGGCGGAACCGACCTCGCCGGCTTCCCGGCTGCAACCTTCGGCGCATGCGCAGCGCCCACGCTAGCTGCGCGACCGTGACATGCGCATGCGCCTAGCTGTCCAAAAGTTACACAGTACAGCACTTCTGCCCTGTCGTGGGACAGGTCTTGTACCCGCCTTAGTTGTCTGTTCCAAATACAGCAGGATCAGCTTCCGCGTGTTCGCGCTTACGGTGTGTTAAAGCTTTTATGTGCGTTGTCTCAAACTTTCTCCTTCTTTCACTTCTGATCTTTATCTTCCATGAGCCTTAATTTTTGATAACACTCTCACCACCACCTATTAACGGATGGATTTGGTGAGATCCCCAAACCTGGTGGGCCCAACCGCCCCATTTCTCTTTGCCTGCATCCCAAGAGCCACGCACAGCTGGACAAAGTAAAGGGGCAAACCGTTCCCTCAGAATTTGTGGCCACTAGTCATGAGACAACAGGTAATAACCTAGTCAGTTCCTGCTCCTGTGTTTTTCTTCCATTATTTTTTCTTTTTTAGATTATATTTCTCACCATCTTTATATAGTTAATTAGTGCATAAAAGTTCAAGGGCTACAGGAAAGTGGGTAAGACTATCATTTCCACACATTTTTTTTTCTATATCTGGGGTAAAGGGGAAGGTAAAGGGAGAAGCCCCACCCAGTCTCCCCCCATCCCAGTCCCCGATGTGGGGCATGCTCCGAGAGCTTGTTCAAGTGGTTTTGATAGTTCAACAGTTATGAGTTGCTATGAATCTCTCCAGTCCAAGCACGAAGAAATCACTGCAGAATGCACTGGCTGACATAGTCCATCTTAGAGTCTCCGTTTGCCCTGTTTTTCACTGCCAACATATGGCTGAGGTGGTTGATTGACTTGTTCTGTCCTCTGTCTTTTCATGGTTAGGGATCTGAGTCCGGCATTCCAATTGAGAAGATCCCTAAAGAAACTTTGTCTGAGGTGAACCCAGACCAGGTTCTTGTGTGTACTTGCAAGTATGGGGCCGGGTACAGTCCATTGCCTCAATCAGCTGGTGGTTGCAATTGCTGGGTCGGTTCTGTCCTCAAGCCCCAACTTCCACCGGAACCAATGGTTGTTGCAGTCCAGCCTGGTTCTGCCCAGCACACACTCAGCCCACACACAAACCAGTGGGAGCTGAAGCCTAGTCAGAGCGACCCACAATATCCCCCACCAGGCCCGCCCCCATCCTGGTTTCTGTGCTTGCCATTATATGTAGCAGACTAGTCCAGTCTGTCCCATATCCCATTCAGTTCTCATACATGTCAATGGGCATTGAAGCCTAGTTCAACCCAACCAGTTCCACTATCTAGCCTGCACACATGCTGTTGGGTGCCCTTCTGTCTAGCCACCCCTGCACCTGTCCTGGCTTTCGTGCCCTCCAGTGGGAGTGGTAACCCGGGGGGGAGGAACCCACCATTTCCCTCCCAGTCCACTCCCACTCCTGGATTATGCACTCTCCAGGTGATTCTGTGGTTTGACTTGACAGAATTAGCCCCCAGTGCCAGCTTCTGCCAGCTGATGCTGCGGCTAAGCCCAAACAACCCTCACCCACTCTATTTTATGCTTGCACCAGTAGGAACAATCAGCCCAGCCTGACTTTTTCCAGGTCTAGTCCACATGAAGCCCACGAGTATTGCAGCCCTGCCTAGTCTGGTCTAACCCCTTCCTAGCTCATGCTCTCCAGTGGGAGTAGCTGTCCAGCAGGGAAGCATCCCCATATTCCCACTGCCGGCTCCAGCCCTCCCTTCCTGGTTCTCAGGTGTGCTATTGGGCACTGTGTCCACATGTGGTACAGGTCACCTCACCTTGGCATTCTGTCGCAACCGAACCTGGCTCAACCCACACTCAGTTCTGGTGCTCGGATTCAGTTCTGGTGCAGGGTGATGTGCCCTGCACCCACGTGGGAGACCTGGAGGAAGTTCCTGGCTCCTGGCTTTGGATCAGCTCAGCACTGGCCATTGCGGTCACTTGGGGAGTGAATCATGAGATGGAAGATCTTGTTCTCTGTCTCTCTTCCTCTCTGTATATCTGACTTTGAAATAAAAATAAAATCTTTAAAAAAAAAAAAGAAAATGTGTATATTAACAAAAACTAAAAATAAAAAAGGTTGTATTGGGTCCGGCGCGATAGTGTAATGGTTAAGGTCCTCGCCTTGAACATGCCAGGATCCCATATGGGCACCAGGTCTAATACTGGCAGCTCTACTTCCCATCCAACTCCCTGCTTGTAGTCTGGGAAAGCAGTCAAGGGCGACCCAGAGCCTTGGGACCCTGTACCCATGTGGGAGACCTGGAAAAGGAGTTCTGCCTCCTGGCTTCAGATTGTTGCATCCACTTGGGGAGTGAATCATCGACAGAAGAACTTCCTCTCTGTCCTCTCTGTATGTCTGCCTTTCCAATAAAATAAATAAATCTCTTTTTTTAAGATTTATTTTTATTTTCATTGGAAAGGCAGATATACAGAGAGGAGAGACAGAGAGGAAGATCTTCCGTCCGATGATTCACTCCCCAAGTGAGCGCAACGGCCAATGCTATGCCGATCCAAAGCCAGGAGCCTCTTCCGGGTCTCCCACGCAGGTGCAGGGTCCCAAAGCTTTGGGCTGTCCTCGACTGCTTTCCCGGGCTACAGGCAGGGAGCTGGATGGGAAGCGGGGCCACCAGGATTAGAACTGGCGCCCATATGGGATCCTGGGCGTGCAAGGCAAGGACCTCAACTACTGCGCCATAGCGCCGGGCCCAAATAATTCTTTTTATTTTTAATTTTTTAAAAGAAGGTTTTATTTGCGAGAGGATGTCTAGTTAGGGTCTAATGAGGGTGAAATCCTGTCCTTTGCAGCAACACACATGAACCTGGAGGAGCCCAACGCTCAGTAACAAGAGCCAGGCTCACATTGACAAATACTGTGTGACTTCTTTCATATGTAGAGTCGGAAAAAGCTGAGCTGGTGGATGCAGAGGCTAGGGAGGGAAGAATGGGGAAGAGGAGAGAGGTTAATGGGTACAAAGTCACAGCCAGCTGGAGGAATGAGTGCTATTTCTGGCACCTGGAAAGGTGGTTATGATTACTAAAGTTGGGTAATTCAAAATGTCAAGAAGAGAGGATTTTGAGTGTTCCCAACACAAAGAAACATGGGGTGAGATTCTGACTCCAGCTTCCTGCTGCCGTGCACCACTGGAGGCAGTAGGTGATTGCTCAAGGAGCTAGACTCCAGCCATGCCCTTGGGAGACCCAGGTTGAATTCCCAGCTCTTGGCCTCATCAGTGTGGCTCAACTTTGGCCCTTGTGTGCATTTGGGGAGCAACCCAGAAATGGATGGAGCACTCTCTGTCATCTCTGTTGGCCTCTGCCTCTCTCATTCTTGAATTTAAAAAGAAAGTATAAAGATTTATTTTATTTTATTGGAAAGGCAGAGTTTACAGGGAGGAGAGACAGAGAAGAGAAGGACTTCCATCTCCTGCCCCAAATGTAGGTTCCACTGCAGCTTCTGAGGTCTCCATTGAGACCATCCAGGTCTGCTGAGGTTCTGGCCACACCTTCAGGTGGGCGATACAAGCCCACTCATTTCCTAATTGGCTAAGAGACCACCAATGGGAAACATCTTACCTGTAGATTCCTTCTCAGCAAGGAGAAATCAGGGAAGGTTTAAAAGACCAAGACTCTTCCTCAAACCTTTGAGGTCTCTCCCTCTCCCCTTCCAAGGGGCATCCCACCTCCCGGCTTTCTCTCAGGAGGTGCTTGCCCCTTCCCTCTTCTTTGCCTGCCCACCAGGTCTCTTTGCAAATAAACTGGTTCCTGATTTGTTATTTCTATAATAAGTTGAGGAAATAACCCACCAGGTTTTTCTGGTAACATCCGTTTACGAAGTGACCAAGCCCTTAGGTGATGCCACTTTGTGGGGGCGGGGGGAAAGTGCAGGTTGCTCACGTGTGATAATAACTGAGCTCTCGGAAGGGATGAGGATGACAGGTGACTGAGGCGTAGCATGAAGATTTTGGTAAAGGTCCTGTGTATCATTTTGACAGCTGAGTGGAGGTGAAATCAGAGGACAGAAACTCGGGGCTTGGGACTTGGATGGCAACATACTGAAGCAAGGACCCCTAACAAATAACCAACCAAGGCATAATCATTCACTCAATCTACTTGTCTTCTTACTTCTGTCTTATTCCAACAATCTAGTTCAAAATCTTCCTTTTTTAGAGAGATTTCATTTTTTTAAAGGTTTATTTATTTTTATTGGAAAGGCAGATATACAGAGGGGAGGAGTGATGTAGAGGAAGATCTTCTGTCTGATGGTTCACTCCCCAAGCGGCCGCAACAGCTGGAGCTGAGCTGATCTGAAGCCAGGAGCCAGGAACTTCTTCCAGGTCTCCCAAACAGGTGCAGGGTCCCAAGGCTTTGGGCCATCTTCGACTGCTTTCCCAGGCCACAAGCAGGGAGCTGGATGGGAAGGGTGGTTGCTGGGATTAGAACTGACGCCCATATGGGATCCCGGCATTCAAGGCAAGGACTTAAGCCCCTAGGTCACCGTGCTGGGCCCCAAACTTTCCTTTTGAAACTTATTTATCGGGACCCAGCCCTGCTTCCCATCCAGCTCCCTGCTTGTGGCCTGGGAACACAGTTGAGTATGGCCCAAAGCTTTGGGACCCTGCACCCATGTGGGAGACCTGGAAGAAGCTCCTGGCTCCTTGTTTCGGATTGGCTCAGTTCCAGCCATGCGGCTACTTGGCGAGTGAATCATTGGATAGAAGATCTTCCTCTCTGTCTCTCCTGCTCTCTCTATATCTGACTTTCCAATAAAAATAAAATCAATCTTAAAATAATTATTTATTGGGCCCAGCGCGGTAGCCTAGCAGCTAAAATCCTTGGCTTGAATGCACCTGGATCCCATATGGGCACTGGTTCTAATCCTGGCAGCCCTACTTCCCATCCAGCTCCCTGCTTGTGGCCTGGGAA